CCCGGCGCCATGTTGGGAGGCCGCTGAGCCCGGGTCTGGGTGTGCGCTGCGGCGGCGGCGAGCCGGGGGGGGGGACGCGGGCGGACCATGGACCTCGAGCGGCTGCAGGAGGCGCTCAAAGGTGGGACGGAGCGGGGCTGAGGGGTGCCCCGTGGTGGGGGAGGGGAGGCGCCGCCGGGCCGGGCTCTCACCGTCTGTTTCTGTCCCCTCCCGGCCGCGCTGCAGACTTCGAGAAGCGGGGCAAGAAGGAGGCGTGCCCGGTGCTGGACCAGCTGCTCTGCCATGTGGCCAAGACCGGCGAGACGCTGTGAGTGACGGGCGGGGGTCGGGGGGGCGTCCCTTCAGGGCCTGTCAAGCGCGTGGACGGCGGCCGCCGAGGGACAAACTTCTTTAGGGCGTTCGTTCCACCCCCCCCATGGGCTTCCTGGTGGGTCCCACAGCCCACGGTTGCTCCCCACGGGCACCCCGCAGCCAGCTCACGGCTCCTGGGGGCCGAGCAGCCACTTTAGGGGCGGTCAGCGCGTCGTCTCCGAGGGCTTCACCCTAAGCTTCCCCCACCCCCGGGAAAGGAGCTGCGAGGGAGCCGGGCTGCTCGGCGGCGACTTCCTCGTCCTCTCACAATTTGGCAGGAAGGGGCAAGGCTTCGCCCCGGCACCCGGCTGGCCAGGCGCTCACTTTCTGGCTCCCGGGCCGCCTCCTGGCTTTATGAGGCCTAGCGCCAGGGTCCAGGCTCGAGCGGCGTTTTGGCTTTGTCCCGGTTTTTATAGAGCGTATCTAGCTTTAAAAGACATCTGCCTCTTTTGTTCTTGCTTTATGTAACTCGAATTGGCAGCCTCGAAGGAAAACCCGAAGTTCTGAGATGTGTGTACTTTGCTCTTTGAGCTAAAGGCGTCAGCTCAGCAGAAAAAGCCTCAGCTTAACGCTCATATTTGTGCCCACTAGTTGTTTATACTTATTGTTTTTAGGTGAAACACTAGTTTTGTGTACAACAGTTTCCTCTTTGGGTAGGCTAAATGCTTCTTTTTTTTTTCTTCTGAAATTGTCCTGGAGGTTTTTGTTTTTCTTTCCTGTGCCTCTCTTTTCTGAAACAATCAAAGCATAGCAAGTTGTATAGGAGCAGCTTGTCAAGTAAATGCTGATGATGGTAGCAGGGTGACGCATTGTAACTGTACTGTTAGTGTTTGTTTGCATCGCTGTTTTGGAAATATGTGATTAAACTTCCTATTAAATTATACAAATAAAGAGCTTGATGTCGCATAAGAACTTAAACATCTTTCAGACTTGATGAATATTTTGTTTCTATTCAGTCTCAAAATGTGCATTATCTGTTTTGCCTGTTTTTGGTTTTTTGTTTTGTTTTTTTTTTAAGCCTCAGATACTACAATTGTCCTAAGCTATTTTTAAGAAAAGTGACACATTGCTAACAATGCAGCCAGTCTCTGGTGTTTTCCTTTGTCCACAAACAAGGCAAATTATGGGAACGCACATTGTCTGTATCATTACACTCAATTCTGTTCCCATCAAAATCTAGATTATGTATCTGTTACTTCGCAGAGTTCACTTGTAGCATATTTTATTTAGAGAAAATGCATGTTATCTTTAAAATAGAAAATCATTATATGTTTGGTAAAGTATATTATCACAAGACTAGGAGACGTTTAGAATGTAGCCCTAAGCCTTTCTAGTGGAAAGGAGCTGTCACTAAGTGCTCCATTATCAAAATGTTTCAGGGATGGATTTGGTAGCTGTGTTGGTCTGAAACTAAAAGAAATGCAAAAATCTAGAACTCTTGGTTCAGAGATGATACCTTTTCGTAGACCAACTGAGAAATTGCAA